CCCCTCCCCCCCGTTCTATGCCATGTGATTGATTTGTAGCAGTGGTTGGTCAGGAACCAGAGGTGGATGCTTGCTGGGCTCCTGGGAATAGCCAAGGGGACAGTGTGCAGAGCCTGAGGATTAAGCCAGAGAGGGAAGACAGTGACAGACTGGGTCCTTGTTGGCATGGCTTGAGCTGCTGGCTTTTCTGTTATGGGCCCCCAGAAGGGCCCCCACTTACACATCTGTTATCACAATGATAACAATAATCTCAGCCACATGGGAAGTGATGCCTGTCAAGCTCCCTCACCATGCACGGCACGTAGCAAGCACTCCAATTCTGATCCTCTCTAATGTTACCTTCTGTGCCGAATTAGGGGATAAACAAATGGTAGAGTGGGTCATACATGTGACATCTGTATCAGGACTCCTGGTTGTAAAGGACAGAAACCCAACTCCAACCTGCTTATGCTAAAGGTAGTGCATGGTCTTAGGTGACAGAGGTTCCAGGTGCACTCTTCCAGGCCTGCCAGGGCTGGGCACCCATTCCGTGTCTGCAGCCCCTGGTCTGGAGTTCCCTCCATGGCTCTATGTTCTCTCTGCTGGCTTCTCCCTCAGCCCGACTGTCTCTGCCAGGCCTGCCCAGCAGGTCCAGGCATGTATCCTATCAGCTGGCAGCCAGCCACTGTGCCCAGGGCGTTGCCAAACACCGATTGGCCTGGCTTGAGTCACATGTGCTGAATGGGCAGGAGGGAAAGTCAGTCCTGACAGAACTGTGCAGAAAGATTGGGATGTGGGTGCTTCACCAAGGCCATTCTAGGGTGCTCTGAGAAGAAGTGTGGGTGCCAAGCAGGTGAACACAAGAGCAGCTCATCCCAGGACTGTCCAGTCCAGACCCCAACCCCAGTGAGAATTTCTGCTAAGACAGGTGGGCAGGGCTGGGCTTGAGAATTTCCAGTCAGGAGGCACTTCCTGCCTCAACAGGCAGTGTTTCCAGTATTAAGTAGCTGTCATTGTTAGCAAGGAGTTCCTGTAACTAATTAAACTCACTGTCACCCCAGTGCTGGGTGTTCCACAGTCACACAGCATCAGCCCCTCTGCCGCACAACAGGCCTTGAGCTGCTTAATGATGGTACCATATTTCTCTGGAGGCCTTTGCTTCCATGACCAAACATCCCTGGTCCCTCCAGCATTGCTTCATGGAAATGCCCTTTCTTCCTGTTCACCTTTTTCTGCATGAGTTCCATTTTCTCAGTGCCCCTTGTGAAACTTGGGGTCTACCACTGAACGCCTATTCAGGGTACTCCCTCCTCCTAATGAGCGAGCTCTCCCCAGTCCACTCACACTGTTGCTAAGGACAAGCCTCCCTGCTGCTGAACCAAGGATCTGATCTGATGTCCTGGGGGCATGCAGGTCCACGTGCTCGATCAGCAGCCCACTACATTCATTTCCCTCTGCGATAGGCAGTTAGACAACAGCAGAGCAAGGACAATGGGCCAGATTCAGAAGGTCACTAGGGTGGAAAGCCTTAGGTGCCTTGCAAAGGACAATTGTAGGATGGGAGCTCGCCCCCTGGGTGACCTTTTTTCCCCTAGCACATCATTGGTCATGCTGTTTGAACCCTCTG